TCAAGGGTTAGGCACCAAGGAGAGCAGGCAGATCTAGAAGAAATCAAATATGCCTGTTCTCCTCTCCCTCTTCAAGGTTGATAGGCATGGGAATCTTGGGGGCAGAAGGGATGGCGGGGGAACATAGTTCCTAATCATACTTCTGGGAGATTCTTGGTAGTCCTTCTGGTCTCAGTGATTCATCACATACTCAGAGGTGATTCCTGCCACCATGCAGACTTCAAAGTGCATTCACAGAATGCTGAGCCGTGAGATGCTCTGTTAGAAAAAAGGGGTGGGGTTCCAGGATCAAAGTGTGGAAGACTGTTCTAGACACAACCCTGAGCAGCAGGCGAGATTCCAGGAGCTGTGGCAGAGCTGGAGGAGCAAGTGACTTTTCCCAAGTGTAAAACTGTGCCGTGGGGAGAGCTGAGCAGGGGCCAGGAGGAAGCCGATAGCTTCTGGGACCACCACCTGAGCCCACCTGCGGATCCTCCAGCTCAAACCTTGACACCGACACCGTTCCCAGAGACCAAGATCCGATCCACCACCAGGGGCTGCCCTTTTGTGCTTGGTCTGGTGACTCCAAGGGTGGTTTCTGTGCCTGCCGGGAGTGAGCTGAGGGTCTGATGACATGAGAGACAATCCTCCTGAGAAAATGACCCCTTCGTTTGCTCCTCGAAAAGTGACTGAGTCACAAGTCAAATCCCAAAGCCACAACCCCTTCTACCACTGAGATGCCAGCAGGTGGATCCTTCCAGGAAGCCAGAACCCACCAACAGGGAGACAGTGGGGCCGTGGCCTCATGATGAGGTTCAACTTTGCAGCTGGATACACTAGACATTGAGGTCACCTGCAAGGAACACGTTTAGAAACAACTGGAGCAGCCCAGAAAGTGAGCCACCGAGGACTTCCCAGGGCCGGGCTGGGCACCATCCCTCCAAGATCAAGTCATGCTCACAGTCATGCAGTAGCCAGTGTGTGCCTGCGCCCGGGAGGCTGCGGGCAGGAGTGGGCCGTGGCAGAACCAGGGGTTTCTATTTCACGGAGTCCATTTTCTGGATATTAAGGTGGAACAGGTGATCTGATGCAGGATTCCTGGGGCCACTTCCGGCTGCAAGAGGCCAGTCCTCACCCCTCACCATGTGGCCTCGGCCTGCCATATTGCCCAGGAGCCTGGTGGAAGCACAGAACCTCAGGCTCCACCCCTTCTACCTACTGAACCCCAATCTTGGTATGTGTGTCCGGGAGGGGAGGGTGACCCAGCCACCTGGGTCAGTTCTCCAGGTCATTCTAGTGCGCCATGAAGTTTGAGAGTCCCAGGTCTGGGATGCAGGATGGAAAACAGAGATGTGGGATGGCGGGGGACATTGGGATGACTCAGGGCATTGGTATTCAAACGTGTACTAGCAAACTGAGATCCGGCTTGCTATGCCGCTCAGCCTCTGCAGCTCTGAGGCCCTGCCTCCGGGGCTGGCACTGGTCCTGTGTTTAAAGGAAAATGGGTGGGGCACCTGGGCTTGGGACCCTCAGTCATAGGGTTTTCTGACTTAGGGAATTTCCGGGGGAGGGGTTGTGGCTCCTCCTGAAGGTGTGGGAGCAGTGGGGGGGCTGCACTCTTGCAGACCTAGGACGTCATGTTGCATGTGTGCTGCGAGCTGTAAATAAAGAGATGGTGGCTGAGCTGCCTTACTTCCTTCTGTTCCTCCAGCAGATGGTCTGTCTGGGATGACAGAGCATCGCCAGGGCCCTTGAAGGGACCCGAAGCCCAGTATTTCCCCTGCCACTTCCCGTCCCTCACTCCACACATTTGACCGAGCATAGGCTCTGAGCCAGGCAGCAAGTAAGGCGGACCTTTCCCCTGGGCCTTGGCATGGCCCCTTATCTGGACCTCCTGGGCAGGTCCCATCGTAGGGTTGGGGCTGCTGAGGCCCCAAACAGTTTACAAGGCTGGCCACAGCGGCAAGGCCTCCAGAGGCTCCGTTCTGGGCCTGGGTGGCCAGTGCAGGGTCAGCAGGGTGAGGAAGAAGAGCACAGCCTCAAGGCCAGGTCGGCGTGGGCTCAGGTGCCGTCTGGGGGAAGTGTGTGAACTGGCCAGCGGGAGCCCTGGCTCAGTACCAGGGAGGACACTGTGCAGACCAGGCTGTCAGAGGCCTAGCTCATCAGAGGAGGCTGTGTGACGGCTCCTGGTGGCACCGTGTCCCTGCCTCCCAAAGCCCCAGACACACCTATGGCTGGTTAGCCCTGGACAGGGACCCTCCACCTAGGGACCTACAGAGATCTCCGCACCCAGCCTAGATGGGAAAGCAGGTCTCCCCGAATCAGCGTTCCCTAAAGATGGGGCCTCGGCCATGGAGCAGACCCCGGCTTCTGAGCCCCACCTGGACCTGATGGGCTCAGGACTCTGCCTGTCGAGTAACTGCAGGCTGAGGACTGCCACCCCAGACCTTCCTGAGAACTCACTGTCCCCAGTGGCTGCTCAGGCCCCAGGTGGCCTAACAAGCTGCTGCCAAGGATGCTTCTGAAGGATCAAGGCCAGAATTTCTCCCTCCTGTGGGTCTTCCAAATCACACCCTTCTTGCCCTGACCCCCGTCTCAGGGCAGAGGTAACCCACAAATGCAGGACTCCCACGCGGAGCGCAGCCAGGAAACCTTCTCTGCACAGAGGGGCCGCAGGCCGGGCTTGGCCCTTCGGTTGTAATTTGCTGACCCCTCACCTATACTGCTGACCTGGGTCAACGGCTGCAGAAAGGCACACTGGGCTTTGAAAGCCCCTTCTGTCCTGGGCTGTGAACTTGAACCCATTTCTGCTAATACAGGTTAGAGCAGTGCTGAGGTACAAAGGGTCAAGTCCTGTCAAACGCAAGGCCACACGGATGTCAGCGCTGTGCTGGCAGCCTGCCCGCCGCCTTCGGGGGTCAGATGGCTTCACTGGGGTGGATCAGTCATGGTTCTTCAGAGGAAACGGCCAATAGGAAATTTATATTTATGTATCTTAAATTAACTATGCATACATGCACATACATATAAACACGTTAACGTGTGATAGACACACATATATGGTGGATTTATTTTAAGGAACTGGCTCCATGATTGTAGGGGCTAGCAAGTCTGTAGTCTGTAGAGCAAGCTGGCGGGCCACAGACTCAGCCAGAGTTGATATTGCAGACGTGAGGCCAGATCTCATTTCCAAGTCCTCGTTTTTTGGGGTTTTTTTTTTTGGGGGGGGTACTGGGGTTTGAACCTAGGGGATGTTTAGCCACTGAGCCACATCCCCAGCCCTTTGTTGTATTTTATTTAGAGACAGGGTCTGACTGAGTTGCTTGGGACCTCATAGAGTTGCTGGGGCTGGCTTTGACCTCAGGATCCTCCTGCCTCAGCCTCCCGAGCTGCTGGAATTACAGGCGCCATTTTTGTTCTAAAGGCCTTCAACACAGAAAACTGGCCATCTGGAGGCTTCAGGGGCATAGTGCCCTAAACCCTCAATCAAAGAACCAAGTCCCGCAGCAGAATGGTCTTTGTGGCTATGGAACTCTGGACAGAATCTCCACTGGTCATCTTGAACTTTAGGTGACAACATGACCAGCACCAACTACCTGGGTCCTGGGTACAAATATCCAGCAAATGTCCACCCAGTATCAATCTGGGTCAGGATGGGATGGAAGGGCGAGAGTGAGTGAGTAGGCACATGGCTAAATAGAGGTTCCCCCTGCCCTTCTTCACAGCCCACCCCCAGGATATGCCAGGAGATGCCACACTCTGGCCTATCGTGAAACACCCAGGTGTGTGTCCAGGAGACCAGAGGTAGGGGACCCAGCTCCTTCGTCCTGGTGACTGGTCAGTGCAGCTCTGTACACTGTGGTCCTGAACCGTCTCTGTACCCTCCACCTTGACCTCGGGTCAGTGGCTGGCACGGAGCAGCACATGTTCAGAGAG